CACACACACACGCACACAGTTCATCAAAGTTGATGAGGACCAAGAGAGAGGGTCATTACAGTGGCAGCTGAGCCAAAAGGATGGTAAGAAACAGAACACTTGAGATCATATATCGAGTTTGAATTCCTAAATTTTGCGTGAAGGAACTACATTTGAATCTGAGCTGCCACTTTTTCTCCTTTCAAACTGTTGATTATTGATTATTATGATCATTATATTTGGGCTTTTATTGTCAGTACACACTGCTGAGTCCTCTCCTGCAGGATGTAAACTGACCTGGGGTGAATGAAACACATGGAAATGACATAATTTAGTCCCAAATGTGTCATCCCAATATAAAGTAAGAAGATTAATGTGACATAAGAAAATGTTCAAGTGTTGTAGTGTCCATCCACCCACAATCTGTTTCATCCATTTTCAGCTACATGCATTGTGATCCTGTAGGGAGCCATTGTTACCAACAATCTCCTCCACCCAGGGTCACATGACACTTGGATTTGAGTGAAATTTTAAGTGTTTAACTAGTATGACAAAAAAAAAAGGGAAAAATTGATAAATTTGAAAAACAAATGAACTGTGAGAAAATCATATTCTGGACATTAAACTTTAAAGGTTTCTGTTATTTGGCAAACACATTTTTGGACCTCTTTAAATACTATGTACATTCACATTAAGTTACCGATGTTACTTTAAATATATTTATATGTATCTATATTATATGACACCCTATGGGCAGTTGCTGAGGTTCCATTCAGTAGCTGAATTCTCTTCATATTGCACCTCCGTCCTCTCACTGTCTTACAATGCGAGCAATACAAAATATTCTACAAGAGGGGTTTCATCTCATTAATATAGATACAACAAATCAAACAATTAGTAAAATGTGGGGCTACCTCTCATAAATGAGTGTCCTTGCTCTGACTTCACTGCTCAGCCCAAACTTAAAGGAGGAAAAATGAAAGGTAACAAAACCAAAACAAAGTCCATCTTTCTGGATATACACAAGGGCAGCACATATGGACATCAGCGACAAGAGACATTATTGAAATTGAAAAGAGGAACAATATCTACAAGCAGGTTCGAACCCTTCCCACGTGACTGCTCTGAGGCTCTGTCCAAAGCAGACTGGGGCTGGGGGCAGACTTGAGTCAAGTAGTTGGGGAAGAGCGTAGAAGGGAGGTGTGGGGTGAGGGGAGGTAGAAAGAGAGAGGAGAACCAAGTCTACACCGCCCTTCACTAGGCTCTTTCATCTGTTTATCATGCTTTGGAAAAAGGAGGGAGTGAATGTAAAGGTAACAGCAATTCCTTGAAATATCTCCTCGAGCTTTAAAAAAAAGGACTTACAAACAATCTTTCCATACGTCTTCGTAGTATGCAATGCCTTCCTGGACAATGTTTTCAAGCTTGTTTTGAGGTTTTTGGCAGCTCCGTTGCCATGTATGTATCTTCATCTCCTTTGAGGCTGTGTAGCTTTTCCTTTCCTCGTTTTTTTCTGTCTATCCTCTCTGTTACCGTTCATGAAAAATCACACTGTGGCAGGGTTTCCATCCATTTCATTAAGTCTTTCTTGTAGGCAAGTTCACAGCATTGTCCATATTCACTAGTCTGGGCCATCACTGAGGAATCGCTATAGTTTTGTCCAGACTGCAGGAGGCAGCTGCAGATCAAAGCAGGTCACAGTTTTGTTTTAATGTCTGACTATCTCTGGGTCCCGTTCTGCAGCTTCTCTGCAGCCTGGTCCTCTCAGGGCTGGCTTATCTGCTGAGGAGGTGATGTTGCTTTGCGTTTGGTTATAAGATGAGTGCTTCTCCTTATCGCTTACTTACTCACTTTGGCAGTGTAATACAAAGGTTTGGATCATGTTATTTTTCATCTTTGAATTCATTTGGGTTCACAATGGTGCAGAGAGGTGAGTCCGGTGTAGATTTTCTTGGCTCGCTAGCAAGGTAGTTAGCAGTTTAAAATTAATTTATTTTCATATCATTATCGTTATCATCAGCATCATCATCATCACTATTATTCTTTATTTAGAATATTTGGACTTTTCTTTATTTTCCCTTAAAGCCAGAAAGAAACATTTAATAAATACTAAGCTGTGTGTCTGAGGAATTAATCGCATCCCCTTCCTTCATCCATTTGAAAAAAGGTATTATGTCCCTTTCCTGTCTCCATTAGAACACTGTAGAATAAGTGCCACATCAGTGAACTGTTTGGACTAGTAGTGCACATCTCAGAGCTGGGTACTGTTCTCTCATTGGTGCTAAATTAAAGGGAAATCCTATCCAAGTGCTAACCGTCCTAGTCATCCCCCATCAATGTTGCCTTACCACAGCCCTTGTCTTGTGTCCTTATGTGGACAGTATTTTAGCGTGCTTACATTACTGAGGACACATCTTAGTCACATCTTCAAGTCAAAGCTCATGTTTTCAGCAAACACATCTGATATGTTTCTGTGACTGAACATGGACACTTTTTATGCCTTCCATTACACTGAACCCCAGGCTGGAATCTTTGTATTTGTGGCTGTGGTTGTGAAAGAGACAAAGACAGAAAAAGTATTTTTTTGTTTGTTTTTGTTTTTTTTGGGGGGGAGGGGGGCAAGTCCAGAAAACAAGTCTATCATCAGGTAGTGAGAAGATTTTCAGAAGAGCTCAGGATAAGAGGGAAATAAGGATTGAAGTACGGGAGGAGGAAAGGGAGCAGTGTGCGATGAAGATTCCTCAGTTTGGTTTTGTGTGGAGTGCGGGCACTGTCGCATCAGTATGCAGGGAAGGGACAAGGGGTCAGACGTCAGCGAGAGGTGGCATCCAGTAGGGCGGGGGTAGCTGGAGTTGTGGAGCGCGAGGCACTGCTGGAACTGCTCTCCTTGGGGCTGGCAGAGACACTTCCACTGCCACTGCCAGCCCCTCCCGCAATACTGCTCTGGCCTGCCAGGGACAAAGGTCCTGGAGGAGTGCTTTCCGAGTGGGTGGGGGGCGCACTGGAGGAGGGGGTGCCTAGAGGGACACTGCTGCCCCCTGGCAGCCCCTGCAGGCCTTGACCACAGACATGGTGGTGCTTCTCCCAGTCTTTGTGTTGGCAGAAGGAGCCGCAGTAGCGAGCCGTGTTGCAGCCGCTGCACGTCTCACTTGCTTTCCTCCCGCAGTTCCAGCAGCTCTGGTGAGACAGTGGGGAGAGAGTGGGTTGATAAAAATAAGTCTCTTTTTTGTCCCAGAAAAGTACAGAATTTTTTCTTTATTACATAAATATATATGTTGAAACCTAAAAAAAGTAATTTTCATATTTAAGTTTGCCTGATCCTAGCTTTTCACAGAGTTTTAATTCTAAGGCTTTAAGTCCTGGTCCTACGCCACTGGTTTGTGTTACCAGCAGGTGGTGGTCAACTGCTCTGTAATGGCCTCAGCCTGGCACTCTGCTCCAACCATCTGGGTCTGTCTGCTTTTATGTACACAGAAAACTGGACTGCTTCTGCAATAATCATGACAACATGGTGCAGCACCAACCCAACAGCAGCCAGCTGCTTACACAACACAGGATAACTTAGTGGATAAGGAGAACAAATTAAAGGGAAATGGATCAAAAAGTGTTGAAAAGAGTGAGTGACTGAGTAAGGAATTAGAGTGAGAATGAAGCAAAATGTGGGTGGGGGGTCTGTGATACTCACTTCACTGGAATCCTCCTGCTGGTTGATGACTGTTAGCGCATCCTCAGAGGCTTGCCTCTTGGCTTCGGCCAGTGCCCTCTCCATTTTAGACCGTTCGGCTGAAATCATCTCATGAGCCTTCCTCTCAGCGTCCGACACTGCCTTCTGCAGTTCTGACATTGCCTGTCGCTTAACCTCATTCACTGCTTCCTCTGAAAGAGATAAAGAGAGAGAGAGAAAGGTGTTAGTGCTTGTGACCATCGTCCCATCCTGCCTGATCTGTCATCCTTTATTAAGGCTCTTAAAGCTGCCATCTTGTTGTATCTCAGAGAACAGATGTACATCATCCAAGATTTAAACCTTTCTGTCAGAAAAGGAAAACAGCCAGACTTCAATAATTAATTCAAACACGTCTGGCCACCATAATTTCTAGTGCTGACAACAGCAGATGTCTCCAAAGTTTGGCTGCTCATCCAACATCCTGGGATTCCCTGTTTGCATGATTGT